ACCACCCCAATGACCACTGATCAATTAACCTCCCCAATGGTTCATCTGATCACATAATTCCTTTGTTTAAAAATCTTCAACTCCTTTCCTACCTCTACCAAATATCTCATTAGCCCTATGTTCTGGCATGATGAGTCCTCACGTGTGCGGTGAAACCGCCATTTCCAGTCTTCTCACTGTTGCGTTATCTTACCTGGAGGAATCCCTGATCTTAAATATGCTTCCCTACTTTTGGTCACGCTACTTTCTCTGCCTGAGATGTCATCGGTCTCCATCAGTGCGTCCTTTCCATCCTTAAATATTTATCTCAAACACCATGCTCTCCGTGATGTCTTTTCTGAATTCCCCAACTAGATGTGACTTTTGCCCACATTTTTCTCGTTACATTTCTCAATGGGCAAAACTCATCTTGGTTATCTGTTCATTGTATTTTACATGATGCCCTAGGGCTTTGTAGGTGGGAGATAATCTGTAACTTCTTAGTGGACTAAGTGAACTTATTTTTATAAACTGCCTGAGAGCCGAGGGAAGATAAGCATAAGGACAAAACCAACATATGGACAGAAGTTATCTTGCCCCAGAAAAACACAATGATGTTCCTCATTGGAGAAAAATCTACTGAAAAGTATAGTGTGTGCCTGGAAAAAAAATAGAATGGCTCTTTGGAAGTTCAGCGCCCCTGTTAAGCCAGTTCTTTTCCAAGATGACTGAATTGTCTTTAAAACCCTCTCACTTGCCCGAGACTGGGGCCGACCCAACACAGCAGGACCCTGAGGACTGGGAAGAGGGGCCTGTCCCCCATCTCTGTACCGTCGTCATGAGCATCTCAGGGGACTTGATTAGATTCTGGAGGAGGGAACAAAAATGAGTGGGAAATAAGGAAGAATCAGAAGAAGAGGGTGTGGGGGTCCCCAAGACCACCCCCGGGTTTGGTGATTTGTTAGAAGGACTCAACAGGGCTCAACACACAGTCAGACTCACAACTACGGTTTATTACAGAAGAGGACGCAGAACAAACCAGCAACGGCAAAAAGGTGCGGGGCGAAGCCCGCGGGGGACCGGGCGCGCTTCTGAGAGGCCTGCACCAGCTGAGCCACACGGGACGTGCTGGACGCCTCCAAGACCTAACACACGTGACGACACACATGGAACGCCGCCCGCCAGCGCAACTCCCTGGGACTCAGTGCCCGGGGCTTCACAGGGGTTGATGGTGCGCGCACCCTCCAGCGCCTATCAAAACCCGACACTCAGAAGGAAAGCGGGTGTTCAGAGTGAATCACACGGTTGCAGAAACAGTTTGCGTACAGTGAACTGCCCTTATCAGTTAGGGAACGGTGCGGACGCTCCTAAAATCCAAGTTCCCAGCCTGTCAGTCAAGGTCCGGCCTTACAAGCAGGCCTTTCTGAGGATAATAATCCTTTTCTGCATTAGGAATATACTGAAATATTCTTACTTTTTGACTGAAGAATATTGCTTTCAGAGTTTTTTTAAGCAGTGTAAAATGGGACAAAGTTACATACACCAAGATGTTCTTCACAATATTAATTTTACAAAAAAAAAAAGGAAACAAAGTTAGTATCCGAAAATTGTGGGATGATTTAGTGAATTATGGTACAGTAGTATTAAGATATTAAGAAATATTAAATGGCCATTAAAATTGTATTTTGAAGATTTTTAATGATAAAAATGATTATCCTGGGGAGTAAGTCAGGACAAAAATTATATATAGAATAACAGCTCAAAAATTGGAGAAATACAGAATGAAATCTGCAAGGAAATATATAAAATGTAATTATGGTTCATTGCTGGGGGATGGATTATATAAAACAATTTTTATTTTCCTCTTGACCTTTTTCTGTACTTTCAATTTTAATTAGTGAACACATTTATTTTTCTAATTAGAAAACAAGTTATAATAATAAAATAATTATGTTAAGATATTTTAGATATAAAGGATGTATACTCAAAGTGAATTTTGCTAAAGTATAAAGTATTTGGTGTGTACGGTGATTAACATGAGTATAATGTATAAGTCAGAGCTTGACTGGAGAACTCTTAGAATGGCAAATGAGTATTTAAAATACAATTTAATATGCTTCTTTTTTCAATCAGTTAACAAAGAAACGGAGAGAGGGGAGATATTATAAATACCAAAAAAGCACAATGACAATTACTGTTTTAAGAAAGAAATGGTTCACAAACTAGCAAACACAAAATAAAAACGTTGTTGTTTACACAATCACAATTTACCTGCAGTCTGTTAAGTATTACTAACATAAGTCACATAAATTTTCAGTTTTCAGTTTCCTTAAAACTTCTCTTCAGGAGAAGGTGATTTTGAACCTGTTCAGTTCCAACTCCCTGCCGTTTGCTTTTCTGCATCCGTCCTGTCACAGAGACGCTACTCCACAGAAAGCTGGTTTTGTGCTACTTAGATTCTCCATCACTGCATTAAGAAGCCATACAGAAAGCAGATGACTGGTGTGCCCTCTCAGGCCCAGAGAGGTGAAATGGCCTGCAGCTTATTGTAAATCACAAGGTAATTCTCTCCTGCACTGAATCGGCCCCAGGCTAGGGAGGCTGTGTGCCTTACTCCTGCATGCCCTGGGCTGTGGCCGCTCCCCAGCGGGCCAGCACAGGGGACCCCGGAAGGCACCCTGTATGGGGCCACGTTCTCTCTGCCTCTGCCATGAGTCCAGGGCCAAGTGAGAAGAACTGAATTCTGAAGGGCCTCTGCAACGGCCAGGATGCTTGGGGGAGTGTGGGGGTGGGGGGAGGCCAGACTGTCTCCAGTCAGGAGGGGAGATGCGGGGACCCAAATTGGACCTGGGGCACCCAGGCGGGTGTCAAGACGCGCCCCCACCATGTCAGTCCCACTGGCCCCTCTGGGTCCATCACAACAAGAGAATCGCTCCTTACGTGGTTTGGCTGTATCGGAAAGGTAACTGCCAGAAAAGGTCTCTGGCGTTGTAAAGGCCTGGGTGTGGGGAGGCGGGAGAGAACGGGGACATGGACACACATCGCTACGGATTCCTTCGGGCAGAGCTCAGCGGCTCCTCCCAGTCGGGGGCTGCAGCTTGCTAAGCAGCGGTTCGCGTGTGATCAACAGTCCTGCAGCGACTTTGCTGCTGCGTCTTCTCTCTCCCAGGAAGAAACAGATCACATGGGACTTGGAGTAAAAAAAAACCTGGGTCCAGATCATGTCACTGTTGAACATGCACGGACGATTTCCAGTCACTATGCTTTCCTGCCATTTGTCATCTCTGCATTTCAAACTTCCTCAGTAAAACGGGCACACCGACAAATGTCACCCTTTCGCAGAAAGAAGTCTGAACTGACTGTACAGCACGACCTGAGCATTTGTTATTGTTGCTGTCAGTCTGCCTGGTATACAGAAAATACTTCACGGGGCTAATTACAGTGGACACGTGCTAAGAGTGGATGGATCAAGAACCTTAAGACCAATAAAAATTGGTTTTACTTAAAAATTAACAGATATTTAACTGTGAAATATTATATCTTACATGGAACTACACTGAACACCTTAGAAATATCTTGGGGAAAACAAGGCCTCAGCCACCAGAGGAGGCCACTGCTGTCATCATACGTGGTAGGGGCCTCAGGTACGGCCGGGGGATGCCAGCAAGTCAGGTCTCACTGAGGCACTGGAGGCAAAAAATCAGAGTTCGAACCTCAACTAACACGTTGGACAACTGTAGGCAAATTGATCTTTTCTAAACCTTGGTCTTCAAATATGCAAAATGGGGACAGCAGTAGTATCTGCCAGTAGGATTTCTGCAGAGAGTAAATGAAGAAACACAGGTGAACCACTTACTAGTGCATGGCACCCTCTTCATCGTGCCATGTGTACAAGGCGACTTCCTGGGAGCGGAACGGGGCCAGGATCCTTCCATTTTACCATCCATCAACCCTCAGACAAGGTGGTGAGCTCTGGTATGTTTCTGAAATCCCCAGAAAGGGGATCCACTACGGTCATATATCCTGCCAGGTCCCCACATGCCACTATGCTGCTCGGGTGAAGTCAGACATGCCTTTGGGGAAACTGGTTCCCCGAACTGAATGTTAACAGACAGCCACAGTACAATTTTCCACATTTCACTAACCACTATGAACATTCAGAGTCCCTGGGTTACACTTTGAAATTTCTTATCCAAGTTGCTCATGCCCTGTGTTTCATTTCCAGTAAAACCTTTCTTTTTTCAAGTGAAAATGTCAAAAAGCTTAAGATGTACATACATGCATATTTTTTTTCTAATTTGCATCAGTGACATCTTGCTAATACAGAAGCTAAAGGAGTTAGGATAATGAGGCGCTAAGACAGGAGTCTCTTATAATAGTATGCGCCACGGTAAATGATGGTGGTGGTCAATGAAGCAATCACTTCACATCCAATATCCTACTAAAATGAAATAAGTGCATGGTAAGGAAATAAAGCCTAACCCTTCAAGAGGTCCTGCTAAATGAGTCAAAGAACCTTAATTCCAGATCTGTAAAATTAATCAAAATAATCCCACTGTGCACCCATTCTACTTCTCATCACAAAGAATGTAAGTGTGCAGGACACCCTGGGTTTGGGTATAAAAGACATTCATTCCTCCCTCACACTCCCCGGAGTCAGCCTCTCGGGACCTGCCCACTCTTCTGGGACTCGGAAGGCGCCTTCCTCTGGGGACAGGCTGTGCCCAGTCAGCTGGGCGCACGCTGCCCCGCCTGACAGTCCACCTGCCAGCGCACAGCACCCTGGTGCCCGCTGGGGACGGAACAGACTGTGCCTCCGGCCAGAGGAGGAGAGGCTTTTTTAATCGGCTAGATCTGCTATGCACTAAGCGTATGGCCATGAATTTGTAACCAAAACACTAATCTAAAAAAAAAGTCAAGTACAATTTAAACATAAAACAAGAACGACATTTTCGCTCGTCAGTTCTAGTTTTGCCACAAGGGTTTTTAACAACATTTTATAACAACTACCAAATCCTTACCTTGGCTGAAGTGGAATTTTCATGGTATACGCCTTGTACCAAGTCCATAAGAGCACTTGCTAACAGTTCCACAACCTAAAAACCAAGAAAAAGATATAAAAGAAGCAATTCAAAAAATGTATCCCCATTTTTACCTCAGGGGCTTAGTAGCAAGGCAGTATTTGTGATTGATAGGAAAAAATGGGATCGTGTACAAAGATCCTGGCAAATGGCACTGCCCACCTGGATATTAGAGCTGTTATCCCAATTTTTTTGAGTCATAATTCATGCAAAAAAAATCTTATTATGCATGCCATTTATACATGAAAATCCAGTAAAGCCATTTTGAATATAAGCTTACATTTCAGATTACTAATGAAATCTTAATTCATTTTCTGTATGTTTATTTCTGTCAGGTGGGTATTTTTCAATATCCTCATTTCGGGAGCCATTACAATGCTAATTTTCATGCTTTATGCAGAAAGAAAAGCAGCAGCAAAGGAATGGTTAACCTTCAGATGTGTTTGTACTGTTGTACGTAGGATGTGCTGCAGATATATTTGGTGTAGGACCCTTGAGTGAAATGTACTATAAATACTGAAAATTTTTACCGACATGTAATACTGAAATCACATTCATCAAACCTGTATTATTTTCAAGGCTCAGGCTATTTAAAAAAAAAAAAAGGAACATCAAAAGCTTTGAACTTGTTCCAGGACAAGAAGAAAACAGTCTATTTGGAACTACTGTGCAGTTCAGAGTTGTTTGCACAAACCATCTTAATTTAAGAGGGTAAAATAGTGTTATTTATTATAATGCTCCATGCAGCCATTTCAGACAGGACTTTCTCAAAGTGAACCCAACCGCTTCTTACAAAGTCTTACTTTCTTGTATATTTAACTTCCTGTGTTATACAGTCCTAGATCCGATTCCCACTCCCTGCTTCCTAAAATTTAGCTCACTTTCTGATGTAATTAAAGGATTTTGTTTCAGCTTTTATCATTCTTGTAATTGAAGACATTATTAAGCCGAAGGACACAGACCCAAACAAGATGATACTTCAATCTTAGGTACCTTGGATTTAATAAACATTTTCTTAGAAGCAAATTATGTTAATCTGTGGGAAGATTTTACAATTTTAACACATGAGCATTTAGCTCCAAATTCATATTTACATTCATACTGCATAACACATACAAGGCTGCTGATATGGAAATTTTGCTGATTGAAGGCATATTTTTTTCTAGCTCGGCAGATGGGTTAATTTGTAAGCCCTATAGAAAGTTTTTTTTTTTTTAATCACATTGCCCTTTAGGTAACCAAATACTTAAGAAATATTGTAGCAAATTGAGCTGCAGAGGAACTGCAGGGACAATGATCCTACAGTGTTAGCAGATGTGTTGAGTTATTTAAGTAGGGAAGAGAAAAATGAACGGATTTTTTTCCCCCTGAAGGTATCAGATAAGCCCTGTTCCCAAATCCAGGAGGATCGAGTATCACCAATAGGTCTACGAAAGACTGTAACTAAATGCAGAGCCTCAGACTGGATTACAGTTACACAGGCAACATCCCAGGATCCCCCTGATGGCCGGACACACAATACGGATCAGTCACTCACTAAGAAATGCCATGTTTTTGAAACAGTGTGAGCTCTGAGGCCAGCACTGGTAAAGTGAAGAAAGATTTGAAAAGAGAAAGCCTGACGCTAAATGTCAAAATGATGGCGTGAGGGTTAAATAGTGGATCTGGCCCTGGACAACCAGTGTGCCTTTATTTCCCTGAAATTCCAGACCAGGCAGAAGCGAGAAGAACACTTCACTCTCTGACTCTTCTCTCAGTGCAGTTAGCAAACACGGGCAGACCTGTACTTAGAAATTCATGAGTTATAAATGACCTAGATTTTGTATTTCCAAATGGTCATATTTCAGCAGAATACACCTCCATAGCGAATGACAACCGTCAAGGAAAAAGCTTTGGACTTCCTTGGGTCAACAAGCTGGGGAAGGTATGAAATCACGAAAAGCAGGAAGGGCCTAGGGAGGCGAATGTGTCCCAGGCAAGGGCGACTTACCCAGGGCACACACACATCTCCTTCCATTGCCCGAAATGTTTACTTTTAAAATTATACCGAAGAGACGTGGGTTTTACATATCATCCTCCTTTAAAATCGCAGTATTTCTAGGAAAACCACAGGGTTACCAGCCACATATACTTCAACAAGACCATTTAAGGATCTGTTTTTTGTTTTTTTTTTACTTTTTTATGACATGGCTTACTACAGCAGGCGTCCACCTGTTTTGGTACCTGCTGTGCTTTACGTACAAGAAAGCACTTGCTTAATGACATCCCCTCCTCGCCCCCCAGATTCCTGAAGAGTATTTATTCAAGCAGCCCAACAGGGTAGCAAGGGTGACAGCCAGAAGAGAACCCCCAAGCCTAACGGTTTGCGAGCCTGAGCCCAGCCCTCCTGGTGCCCTAGACGAGGGCAGCCGTCCCCACGACACAGATTCACGGGCTTCTGCAGCTCAGTCCCGGGGCCGGTAGGGCGGCGACAAACACTCCTCCGGGAAAGAGACCCGCTACGGGCCTCGGTGTGAGCGCCTCCCGCGGGCCCAGCAAACCAGAGGGCGGTAAGGAAATAGAGCCGCAGGGCCTAGATCACACCTCAGGGGCTACTGCTGATGTCACTGCGACATTTGGGGCACATCAATTAATTTCTTTGAGTTTTGGTTTTCCTCGACTATAAAATGACAGGAGTTGCAAAACCTAATTCCTTAAAGTCCCTTCTAGTTCTAAGATTCTGGGCTTCTAAAAATGCAAATCTTAGTGTTTATAATTAGGCATGTAAATTTAAAAACTGCTTTTTTGTCGACTTTGATGAGACATCTTTACTCATGCTCTTATTTTTATCTGTTCTCTTCACATATACCTTTCCCTCTGAACTTCACTGATTACTTTCTTTGTGAAATTTCTTCGTACCCCAGTCACCTTTGATTCCAATCCCTGCGATCACAAGGAAACAATTTTCACTTTTGAAGCCACTTAAAACCATTTCCATCATCATGACTGGCAGCCCACCCCACTAGCTGGCAAAGAGGTCCCAGTGGGGTCTCAAAGGGTGCTAATGCTCGGGAACTCACACTAGCGGATTCAGAACGGTATCAGGTCTAACCGCGAAGCTGTATCAAAAAATAAGCGTTCTCGCTGGTCTCCTCACTTCCTTTTCTAATGAGTAAATACGTGGAGCACTTAGAGGAGAATATGGGACATATTAACACAGCGTGTTAATTCACTACTCTTCTCTGTCATTATTCTCTATTCGAGACAAGTCCTCGGTAGATGAAGGGCCCAGTATGGAAACCAAGATTAGTGTTTTTAAAATTGTTTGCCCAAATATTTTAGAAGAAAGAGGGTCTTAGTTCAACAACAGAGCACATGCAAAGACTCTTTTGATCAAAATCTGAGCTCTTTAACGTTGACTTGTTGCGTCCTAAAACATTCTCTCAGATTTTAAATACTGTTATGTAACACTGTCACCGTCAGTGTTATAAAGTTTACGTTACCTGTCTGTGGAGTACTCAGACAGGAAATACAATTTTTCATTTCCACAGTTCTGGAGGTTTCGAGGTTTGCAGAACTGCCTACCAACACACACAAATATAAAAATACTTCTTTCTTTGATTTGTGTCCGAAGTTCAAACGTGACTCTACAGCGATGCCACACACTGTCCCCCAGCCGTCTAAGCGACACCTCAGATCCTGATAAGCAGAACATTCACAATGTCAGTGTGCGGAGCCGGCTTACCTTGCCGCCCGTTTGGGGCTCCCAGGGGGGGCGGCCGGGTAGGACGGTGGGTGGGCCCTGCGCATCTGATGGCCACTCTCCCGCACACGCGGTCTCTCCCCTGCCACCAGCACCCTCCCCGCAGCTAAGGAGCAAGCGCTCTCCCGATGTCCGGGGACCCTGGCACAATTACAACATGTACCTGACAGTGTATTACAGTGATGTAACCGACCTTTGGAATGAATTTCTTTATTATTACTTTTTATTGAGGTATAATTGAGGGATTGAGTTTCTTAAATGATTAATCTACAGGACGAATCTCGCCAATCTCAGGAGAATATGTAATTGCTTCAACTCTATCTTTTGGCAAGCATAATGAGAACTGAGTGATTTTTTTAAACTGAAACACTCAAGTGATGTATATCCTTAAAAAGGTGTTGTGATGATTATGCCTGAGCTGTATTAACACTTTCATCATAAAAAATAGAAATTGAGATAAATAGGGAAGAGAGAACAATGAGCAAAAGGCACCCTCACTTACATGGTGATACAAAGGTGTTTATAACATTCTTAAGAAAAAAAAGGCTGGTTATAAATCAGGGCAGCATGATAGGTATTTCTAAAACAAAAATGAGGTCAATCCATGTGTTTACCCATGTAGAGAAAAAAGTCTGAAAGGAGAGACAATAAAATATTAGTAATAATCATAATGTATAAGTCATAAGATTCTGAATGATTTTTAACTAAAATTTTTTATTCCTCAACTTTTCTGAACTGCATGAATTTATAATTGCTAAATTTACAACTGCTTAAATTCACAATGTTTTACAGCCCTCCCCTTTTATAATTAGATAGAGCAACAAACCTCCTTCCCTGGGGTGAGGGTCAGGGAAGCACACTCTGCTTTTAGTCTCAGAGAGGCTTCAAACTAAGCCATGTCCACACATTGGCTTACGGACTGTATCAGTCAGGAGTCCCCGGACGGGCAAGAACACGGTCGGTGAGTGGTGGTTAGCAGTCTGTGTAGAAGGGTGGCGCCTGGCTCGGCAGACGTCATTCAGGAGTACTGTCAGTCAGCATGACAGACGGAAAAGACTCGGAGTGGTAGCTGTTTAGCTAGGAAACCAGACCCCTTTGGTTTTAGCAAAAGAGTACCTATGGTAAATTAAAAGTAAGACACAACTAAATCTTTAAAAAAGTTACTGTAAGCGAATGTGGCTCAATGAAAGCCCCAGCCAGCATAACCTATTTGAGCTGATGTAATAGGTGGTACAGTTGTATTTTAATCCACTTAAGAAAGCTTGCCCTGTAC